GAAAGTACGACTGTGCTGACACGCTCAGTGACCAAGTTGTGTTTGCTCGAAATGGACTGAACAGTTTAGGTTAAACTTGAAAGTTTAACATGGCTTACGGAGCCAAGTGGAACTTGCGTATGTGACTTTGAACAGTCAAGTTTAAAACTTGTTTATTTACAACCTTTAAGGACTTTGCGAACAGAACAGTTGTCTGAAACATGGAACTTTCATGTATTAGTTGTTGTTTGTAGTCCCGTTTCTTTGCATGTAAATGTGACTGTTTTCATTCCCATTTAGGGGCCGGTGTGGCTACCATTTTAATTCCGTTTCGTTATTTTCATTTCCGGTTGTTGCGTTATGTAATATCGCGTGAGTTATTTCCCACGTGCCTTTGGAATTTGAAGTCTCTGGTTACGTATGTTGACGTCCTGGTATGGGTCGCTGTATTCCCAATCAGGGTAAAACAGTTCTTTAATGTGCTTAAGGCACCTTTTTTATTAAAATGAGCCGCAAAGATTACTAAGAATAAAATACTAAGGTGGTGTTAAAGAAGCCAATCTATACGGGTTTTTCAGTATTGGATCTCTCCAAGGTGTTAATGAATCAATTTCATTATGATTACATCTTACCCAAGTATGGCGTAGACCGTGTGAAATTACTGTTCACTGATACAGACAACCTCACTTACTTCATCTATACCGGAGATATTTATAAGGACATGAAAGAGGATCAACACTTATTTGACACATCTGATTACCCTAAAGATCATTTTCTGTACAGTATCGAAAAAAAAAAAAGTCATTGGTAAATCTAAAGATGAGAATGCTGGCAGCCCTGTGATGGAGTTTTTAGGTCTACGCTCTAAAATGTATGCTATGCAAACATGGTATGAAAGGGATGCAAAGTCGAAAGAGAAGAAGACTGCAAAGGGAGTGAAGAAATCTGTGATCGAGAAAGAACTGACACACGAACTTTATCCAAAGCGTCTTTTTACTAAGACATCTCAAACGCATGCGATGATGGGATTCCGCACTGAAAAACACGAAATGTCTACAGAGAAACTTACCAAAACAACGCTCTCACCTTATGACGATAAGCGATTTTTGTTGGGGGAGTTTGGAATCGATACACGCGCTTATGGACATTACTTGAATGCATTAGAATTATAGAAAACCAACTCGGATAGTCACGTGATAGACTTTGCTTTTAACTTCTTATCGCATTTGATGAACGTGCGATGCATATGATTTATCAATGAGATTCGCTCGCTTGTTTTGCCTATAAATAGCGCTATAATATTTAATAAAAGCTTTTTCAATTTGTTCTCTGTTTATTTTAAAAACGCGAGCGGGTGTGTGCATTCACCTCCTTTTCATTATGTAATGCCAAATATCCCTAAAAGATTTTCGGTGATTTTTCTTTTGGTTTGAACAGCGTTTATTCGCTCCGCATCGGTATGATTTTTTTAATCCCATCATGGATGTTAAGTTTACTAAAAGAGTGGATAGAAACATCATACACTTAGATGAAGAAATAGAGGAAATTCAATTTGAAATAAATGTGTGTCAACATCGAAAAACGGAATGGAATTAAAATTTACTCATGTCTATGATTGAAGGCTTATTATTAACGATTCAACGATGCATTTTAAAACAAGAATACTCTATGAATGGCGTATGCATGATCTCATTGGAAGCGGTGTAGCCTACAACTCTACCTTCTACCAAATGTTTGGGACGACTCACTAATATCCCAGTATTTACATTCTTCCCTCAAACACCCCGACTTACAAGAACTATGCTGGCCATGTTCGATTGGTTAAGTTTTAATTGGATGTCCACAGAATTAGAAGCGTCGAATATGGAATTTAAAGTAACGCTCACTTTCAGAACTACTAGTGAACAGGATTGGACTCGTTTCTCACTCTAATAAATGCAGGTTCGTAACACCAGAAAATTTCAAGGTTATTTTTTTTTTATTAAAATTACTTTACATATGATACAGCAGCTCCACTATTCACTCCTTGTTTTTTTACATTCTGCATTTCTACTTATGCATAGAGTTGCGCGTATTTCCTCTGTAATTCCTCCAATTTCTGTTTCATTTGTGATAACAGAGTGGATTTCATAGGTTTACGCTGTAGTAGTAATGTATGCTTGATATGCTTTCTCTCGTCTTTCATGGACTGATATTTCTTCAGATCTTCCGCCAGTTGAGTTTCAATCTCTTGTATCGCTTGACATAACACCACGGTTTCCAAATCGCGAAAAGCCTCTTTTACTTTGTTCTGACCCTCCACTGTTCTCATCTTAGGAATTCCAATAGCTTTTAATCTTCTAGGAAACGTTCCTTGTTCTACATGCGATTTGAAATCTTTCAGGTTCTGCTCATTATATCATGCGTGCTCTGATAGCCATCAGATTCTGTCGATACTCTTTGAGAGTGTTTGATTGCGTTATCTCTGACACTATGAAATGAAGTGTGGAAATGATGAAAGTCAAGCTAGTAAGATTATTTTAGATAATTTTTCTTTTCTTATTCCTCGTAGATGGGTGGAGAGAGTGTTATAAGACTTGTTGTTACACTTGAGTACGCTTCATTTATCACAAGTTGTTAATGATGAAAGATTGTTAAAGCTATGACATTTTAAGGAAATACTGGAAGCAAGTCATGGTTGGAATTAGCCATAAATGATCTGTTAGTTAAAGTGGAATACCGTAGAATAGCCGAGTCTAATTTGTACGCGGTAATCTTTAAACTGTTGAAGCCCGAGCAACTGGATAAGAGACATTTAACAATTGAAATGATCTATTCATTTTATATGGGAATGAAAGATATTATCAAGATAGAGAAAACATATAAAACATCTACAGTTGAGGTGGCGGTTGCATCTCGGGAACATAGTCAGGTTTCCCACGTATGTAAATTCCAGCCAAAACGGTTTTCATACCACAAAATGAAGGATGTTATAGCGGCTTTAGAAAAACAGCTGTCCATGAGACAAGACTTCAATGATGGATTGATCGTCAATATTACATTCTTTGAACCGTGACGTTTCCCTCGTTGTAAATATAAGTCTATATTGTAATCACTTGAAATGATTTTCTATGAATTGCACATCTTAAAAATTTATTGTTACAAGCCTTCCCGATGACATGACAAGATATTATGCAAGTGTATTCTAAGGCAACACAACAACCTTTCGGATTTTTCAGTCATCTTTTAAAGCATAAAGGATGTATCCGGTTTTATACTAAAAAAATAGAGAAAGAACCGAGGTTTAATGCTCTTAAAACCATCATCGGACTCTTCATAGAACATTGAACAGAATGCTAATGTGTTCTTTTGTTCATTTTCTACGAATTGTGCATTTTAAGGGGACAAGTAATTTACTTAACTACATAGGGTGTACATAGCCGCACAATTTTAAGTCTCGCGTGGAACCGTTTGGTTAATAAAAGATGGAGTTTTCACCTCGTTGTTTTTACCTTGTTTTTAAAATTTTCCCGTTCTTCCTCTCTCCTCCTCTTCCTCTTCTTTCTTCCTCTTCTTCTTCTTCTCTTCGCACGTGCCTCCGGAAAAACACAGCTGCGTCAGTTTTTATTTGTCCCTTCTAAAATGCAGTGTGACGATTTATCTCACATTTTTTTCTTTCTTCTAAATCGTGGATCCAATCCCATTACAAT